TTATGAACACTTAAAGATTCACGTAGGGCATAGCGGTATATTTCTATCCCCTATCGGACCCTACGATGATTTATATTATGTCGAATCTATTCCAATTTTCTCGAATGCAAGAATAAATCACCCAAACTCACACAATTACGGACTTTTAATTGCGGAAACAATAATTGCATATAAATCATTCAAAATAATAGAAATATGTTTTAATGTTAAATTGCAAAACTAGAAAATTAAAGATCAAATTACATGGTACATCGATGTCCTAACACATGAAAATCTAGCCTAACATGATTAAAATAAAAGAATACATCAAATTTTGGATAAAAGGTATCACCGAGTTATGAAATCTTGAAAAATCTTGAAGCTCTTCGTGTAAATCTTCGTTCTTGCGCTCAAAATCCTCTCCAAGAAGTATTTTTCTGTCTCCAATATGTTTTGCCTCTTTCTGGATGACTTCTGGTATTTATATCACGTGAAAATTAGATTTCCAAAGAGTTTCAATCGTATAATGAAACTGCAGAATCGGCCCCCAAAATATACCTATGCGACCTCATTGTACATTTCTATGCGGTCACATAGAGCAAAAAATTTTGAGAAAAATTTCTCGAGAGGCCTCTATGCGACAGCATAGAGGGGTTGCATAGTGCTACCAACTATGCAAAATGTCTATTTTGGTCCTTGAACTTTCATTCTTCTTCATTTTAGTCCCTTTGCAATTCCTTCTTCTTCCAATCATCTTGTATCGCTTTCGAGTTCATATTTAGTATATTTGCTTTCCCGATTTGCCTTTTAGTTCAACTTTTGAATATTTACATCCTTAGTCCTTGAATTATCACTTTGCTCCATTTTAGTCATTTTTCGACTATTTTCTCATGAATTCCACAATTTCCATAGAAACACCTACATTGCATGAATTCAACGAGATTAAGTCACAATTTAAATATTTTGCTCGTAATTAAGTCATGTTTGTAATCAAAAGAAGTGTGCAAAAACACACTTATCACTCATCAACCCCTGCATTCTTGGAGGGGTCAAGCTTGCGCTTGAGGGTATACTTGATGATTTTGTTGATGGCCTGAAGCTAACCGTTGGATTGGGGGTTGGTGTGGCGTGGTAAAGAGTTTCTCAATTCCCAACTCTTCGTAGAGCCTTTTGATCTTTCCGTGGTCAAATTGTCAGTTGCGCTTGAGGGTATACTTGATGATTTTGTTGATGGCCTGAAGCTAACCGTTGGATTGGGGGTTGGTGTGGCGTGGTAAAGAGTTTCTCAATTCCCAACTCTTCGTAGAGCCTTTTGATCTTTCCGTGGTCAAATTGTCAGTTGCGCTTGAGGGTATACTTGATGATTTTGTTGATGGCCTGAAGCTAACCGTTGGATTGGGGGTTGGTGTGGCGTGGTAAAGAGTTTCTCAATTCCCAACTCTTCGTAGAGCCTTTTGATCTTTCCGTGGTCAAATTGTCAGTCATTATCGGAGGCCAAGGACCAGGGGATGCCAAATTAGAAGCTGATGTTATTCTAGATAAATTTGAAGTATTTGTCCTTTTTGTAATGGCCATCCCAACCTTTTTGATATTTCTCATGACTTTAAAATGTATTCAAGCGTTAACAGAACTCCAAGTTCTGGTATGATTTGCTCTTAAAAAATAGAACACACATCACTCAAAAATCACATTATGCCCAAAAACCCACGAATCTGCAACTCAAAGCCCCCAAAATAATTGTTTATATTGATATAAAAATAGAAAAAGACATTTCCGTACTTTTGACCGTAATTATTAATTTAGTCAAATACTTAATCCTTAGTCATACAGTATTACATTAATTAATACAATAAAGTGTACAACACCGGATTATAGTTCTTCATAATTGATGTGATGAATAATAAAGAAAAGGCGAGTTTGATAGAAATAATCAAATTTAATTATAATAGAACAAATGAGTAACAGTATATATTTTAATTAATTAAAATTAATAATAAGCAAGTTACCTATTTTTTTTACCCTCCACAATCTTAAAAATTAGCCAAATTAAAGTAAGAAAATATTAAGTTATCCACAATTGCTGTAGAGAAGTAGTTATAATTAAGTAAATAAGTAAGTTTTTAAATAAATAAAGTTACTTTTTAATAAAAACCTTTTTTACTTAATAAGTAAACTTTAAATAATATTATTTTATCAAAGTTAAAAACAAGCAGATTGCTATTTTAAACTTTTTTATTTTGCTTCACTTCTGATACTGTGAGGCCGTAATTATTTGAAGTTTTGACAATTTGTAGTGCGGATTCCTGTCTGACCCTACAACGCGTGGCAACGTGTAACTTTTCCTCGTCGTCGTCCACCTCCCACGTTCATTTAGACTTCTCATTCAACACGCTAACACCTGCCTCATTTTAACAATACATTTATCAGTTGCTAACACTAACGAAATCGACAGACTGCGCTCCTGCTCCTACATATATTCGTACACCCGAGCTTGTTTTTGGACTTCTCTACCCTAATAGACACACGTTTATCGGTATCTTGTTTCGCAGCATTTCTAGTGCACTGAGGTTTGAATGCTTGCAGTTTTAACTAGCAATTGATCCCACATTTCTATTTTATTTTTTTTGGTTCTGAAAAATGGATAAAACGGCACCTTCATCGTCCTCTTCGCCGTCGGTGGAGCAAGCAGGCGAGCCTATGAAGTATAAAGGAGTTAGGAAACGGAAGTGGGGGAAATATGTATCGGAAATAAGGCTTCCGAATAGCCGGGAAAGGATTTGGTTAGGGTCATATGACACGGCCGAGAAGGCCGCCAGGGCATTCGACGCCGCCCTCTTCTGCCTCCGTGGTCCACAATCCAAGTTCAACTTCCCCGATGATCCGCCAAACATTGAAGGTGGCAGTTCTCTCTCCCCGGAAGAAATAAAAGATGTTGCAAACCAATATGCGACTGGTCATAGTGGTAATAATACTCAACAGCCAGAGAGTTCTGATCCAAGAACCGGGTCCGAGGACTATATGAATCCATCATTTTGGGACATGCCAGATTCAAATGAAACTGGCCCGTGGATGAACCTGGAATCAGAATTTGGGTTATTTCCTGATACAGTTGACTATATGCAACTACATTTCACAGACGAGAACAATGACAATGACATCGAGGAAGATATTTCTCAGCTTTGGAACTTTGACCAACGCTGAATGATATTAGAATTAATTTGAAGAGCACGCTTGATCATTAAATATTTATGGGCAGGTTTTTATATGGTTATTCCTGGAAAGTCAATTGTGAAATTTGGAATAGATAGCCCAGATTTTTTTAGGGTTCTTGAGATTCACAGTGCAATATTAGAATTGAGACATGGAGTTTTTAATTTAAAATGTCAAATTTTGGAGAAGTACTGAGTCCTTAAATGTTTATTAGTAGTTCATACTTAGTTTGAAGTTCAATCTCAAAATGTCGACCTTATTAAGAGAACTTGTTCGAAACCTTTAATATGTGCTCCATCTAAGCTTCTAAGATCTAATGTTAGAAATCCAAACTAATTACAGTTTGTCCCAAATTACCATCATTTTTATTTTTTTAATTCTCAGTGAAATATCATCACGTGCTTAATGTATGTGAAGAATAAATTCCTCTACTCTTCGACATTCTTAAACTTTTAAATGCGATGATTTAGTCCTTGTATGAGCCTTTTTTTTCCATCAAAATATGTTTCTGAACAGTGATTTGACTCAATTTCAACCGACACATTCTTCAATAGAATTATATTACATGGAAATCCAAAATCTTTCCTTATTTTTTAACCACACATTCTCTATCATAACAATATTACAACATGCATTTTTTGAAAATGTAATCGCAAATAGGTCGATCCTCACAACCTCCAAATATAAAAAGTTCACATTTCTGAAAAATTGAATTCGACCTAACACAAAGGATTTATTGAAGATATATTTGTGTGCAATATCTTCATTTCCTAGCAACATAATTGTATATTATGTGATTCAGCACTGCTTGTTCGAATGTGCGGCGAATTTATTCAAAAAAATTGAAATTCTGCGTCTGATAATTTTATTTTCCGAACGGTCCCTCTACTACATCGAATGCTGCACTTATTGTTTATGAGACTTTGGCATCTTCAGCTAAGAGAAGGGGCTTTGGAAATGATTTTGACATTATTTTGGATGATTTTAAGGTCTAAGGCTTCGTTTTCTGGTGAAGAAAAAGCAGGTAGGTTTCTTTAACTGAACTGGGGAAATATTTCAAATATGATAGCTTACCATGAGATCTTAACATTGGTAAAAGGCTGACGAGTAATGCCATATAGAGGTAGAAGTTTCATCGGAACATGAAATTTTGTTACCAAAGAATTAATAACATAATTTGTAGAGAATTAGGTTTTATGTATGAGGTGTAATTGTTGACCTCAAAAGATATATTTATTTTCAATGCCAACATTAAGGTTATTTGGGAACTCTTAGCAAGGTTTTTCCTCTTTTAAGGAGGTTTGGGCGTGTTTTTGATGGAAAAGAAAGAAGATCGAGTTTCCGGCGTTAGTTTTGCTTAAATTAACATCTATATAATAGAATTTTCAAGTGCGCATTGTTATTTCTTTGTCTTGACCTGAAGTGGCTTTTTGGAGAGTGGAAGTTCCATCTTTTATTTTCCTTTAGTTTGTACAAATAACCCTATTTATAGACATTTTTAGGGTACTCGATCATTTTTGTGAGTTAACATTCAATTGTCATTGTGTTGGAAGTCGTGATCTAATCGAGATAAATTGATGCATTTATTGAATTCGTCGAAACTGATAGGGGTCGAATCCACAGCTTCCGCCAATTTGCTGAATTGAAGTTGGCCATAAGTGTAATAGGACTCCCAGTTACTGTCCAAGGGCACCTCTGTTGGTAAGGCCACTTTTCGGTTATGAGCATGCATGGTTTTATTGTATAAGTCGGCGTTGATTATGTTAGATTGCGAACTAACGTTTTGTCTAGATTTGAGGCTTGGTGGCCGAGACCCTTAATCGTATTTTTTGTCATGTGTTATGGTTTCAAGTGTTGTCGGTAGATGGTGCATCAATGGCTAGGGCATCTGTCGCTTCGATTGCATGTTAGACGACCAAAATGCGAATATGGAAAGACACGTGGGGATTCAATGTGACCCTTTGTGGCTGACGTGGAGCCTAGCTAGATGTACAATTTTTATTTCAGCTCATAACAATAGTAATTCAATTCCCATAAAAACACATTATATCACGTCTAGCTGTGAAAATTTGTTGGCAATTTCTTTACTTTTTCTTGAACGAAGCACCACGTCATCCGCACCCTGTCTAAAGATATTATATCAGTAACTCTTCATCAAATCATGAGGTGTCATACGCTTCACTAATGCCCAAGTCTTCCACTGTGTCTGAGTCTTCGCCTTACTTGGGTACAACCAACTTGAGAGGCAATCATAGATTTCTCCGTCATCGAAATCCAACTCGAAGAGCGCTCACTACCTTTGTTATGTGTGTAAATGCATTTATAATTGGCTTCTATATCTATACCTTATAAGATCCCAGGCTCATCCTTAAGAAGGTAATGGAAACTACCAAGTTGGAGGAGTAGTTACGAGTTTAATTGGCTAGTTAAGCATGATCTATTTCGAAGGTTTTCAACATCATAATTAGAAATTACGTATAAGATTACCCATTTAAGTTAACTGTTTACATTAGCAATGTTTAATAGCAAAAGCATCAGTTCTTGGAACTTCTTGGAATTCTTGCTTGTTAAACTCATATTGAATACTACCTAAATTGCGTGTCTTGAAAATGTTCGTTGTTTTTCTTTGGTAGGATATTCATTAATACCAGCAAAACATAAAGAAGAAAACCAGTCTTTGGAAAAGCATATAATTCACTTCATTCAAAGAAAAAACAATAAAGATAAACCAATCTATTCAAAAAGAAAATTTCCGTTTTAAGAATATTTTCTTGACTTAGAATCACTTTCATAGTCACTCTATAAATTTAATAAAATATTTAATGTTAACAGCAATATATTAGTATCGGATTAAATAAAGTTCAGATGCATTGAAATATGCGTACCAGGAAAATGTTTGGAGTTTGGCGTTTAATTCAATTTCCAGTCCCACATCAGAATATTGTTGGATAAAGTCAAAGAATTCATTTTCGAAAAGTATATTCAGAAATGCTTTACTGCATATATTAGCTGAACGTGTTTCATGATGTTTTAAGAACAGAACTGTGAAGCTCGACAAGTCAATTTCTTAAAGGTCATTGTCAGTCTACGGTCAATCATTCCAGAAGAATTTTGAACTAAACAGGTGAATATGAGAATATTTGTCAAGTTTCTCACCCAGTATTTTTCTGTTCATGGATCCATTTTTTCATAACTCATTTTTAATTACACATTTTTTTATAAAATAATATGACATGTAAAGAAAATTTTAATTACACACTCTACCAACCTCACATGCGAAGCTTCGAAATAAGAAAATTTTCATCCCCTCCACTCTGTTAAATTATGACTCAAATTCGGAGTCTTTGAAAGTAGCAGACAAAAGGAAAGGGTATCAAAGTTGTATTTTGCAAATTAAGGAAAGAAAATCTTATTGGAGCCATGTGGAAATATGAAAGAATCAAATTGGAATCAATTTCAAAGAAATAGGGAAAGTGGCGTGTTCCCTGTTCACGTGTCTCGACAGATCTTTTTTTCTTTGTTTACACGTTTCCTTTTTTCTTCATTTCCATCTTTTGCCAATTCCTAGAACTAGACTCGTGTACCATAAATATAGGACTTCTCTTTCAATTATTGTTGAAGCCAATTGTTGTAATTCTCTCCTTTCATAGTGATTGAATAAAATAACATCGTTCCTCTGCTAGTTCCCTTTTATTTTGCATCTTTTACATTAATCTTGTTCTTGGTTATTTTGTGATTTTTATTTATACTTCATATTGGGTTCATCAAATCTCAATTTTTGCATTGTCTTCATCGGTCCCAACAAGTGGTATCAGAGCAAGGATGCAAGTTCTTCGTGATTTGATTGAGGTTTTCAGAGATGGCTTCGATGAAGTATGATATTCCGCTGTTGGATCGCAATACAAGGTTTTTGCTATGGCAAGTAAAAAAGAGGCTGTGTTGACGCAGATGGAATTTGATGATACTTTGCTGGGTTTTGAGAAGATGCCAGTAAATTGGTTTATGGAGGAGAAGCAACGAAAGGATAGGAATGTTACATCATTGATTCATCTTCATTTGTCCAATAATATACTGTAGGATGTCTTGAAGGAGAAGACAACGACTGCTTTATGGCTCAAGTTGGAGCAGTTATGCATGACAAAGAGTCTGACGAGCAAACTCACTCTAAAGTAGAAGTTGTATTCCCATCGCATGGCCGAAGGAGTGTCACTGCAGGACCATTTTGCTATGTTCAAGGAAATTATTGCAGATCTGGAGACGTTGGAGGTAAAGTATGATGAAGAGGATCTGACCTTGATCCTGTTGTGTTCATTACCTGGCTCTTATTCGTCGTTTCATGATACTATATTATATAGTCGTGACATACTAACCATTGAGGATGTATACGACGCCCTGTTCTCAAAGGAGAAGATGGAGTTGTTGGTTGGAGATCCTACATCTAGGGGTGGGGATGCTCTTGTTACTCATGGTGATCGACGGAGGGGTAGATCAAAGGTGAGGTACAACAATGTGTATTGTTATTACTGCAAGAAGAAAGGACACATCAAGAAAAATTGCGACAAGTTGCAGGGTAAAGGTAATTTACATGCAAATCATGCGGGGCAATCAGGTAAATCGAACGAGACTAATATTGCTGAGAATTTTTGTGATGATGGAGATGTAATGTTGGCTGTATCTGACGGGTAATCCAAACCTAAGGAGTGGATTCTGGATTCTGCATGTTCGTATCATATGTGTCCGTGTTATTCCAGACATATGAGACGGTGAAGTAAGGTGGAGTTATCATGGGAAACAATCAATCTTGTCGGGTTGCAGAAATCGGATGAGTCAGATTGAGGCTACAAGATGGGACAATGAGGACACTTGATCAGGTTCGCCATGTTCCATACTTGACAAAGAATCTCATATCACTGAGTACCTTGGATGCAAAAGAGTACAAATTTTCTGGTGGAGGTGGAGTCTTGAAGGTTCGAAAGGGTGTCCGGGTTGTA